AGCAACGTTGGTTCCCACCTTTCTTCTGGACTAACACGATGGGAGCTGACCAGGGACTATCTGATTTCTCTCCTATCCCTTCCTTAATTAGGCCATCCATGACCTTCTCCATCTCTTGTCACTTTGCCAGTACTATTCTTTTCGAATGGATCTTTATTGGACGGTAATTGTCTGTGTTTATTCTGTGCTCCACAGCGTCTGTGCATCCAAGGTTATGATCTCCTTTTGAAAGACGTCTGCATAATTTGCCAAAGGTCCCCTAACCTGAAGAGCCTGTGATGATGACAAATGGGCTATGCTCTTTTTATAGAGATCAGTTATATGTTCTGGGAATGGATGTTCTTTGTTTATGGTTGTATTTCTTACCTTAACATTGACTAGCTCGACCTCCTGGCACACACCCAACAATGCCCTTTCCTTAAGTGTCTGCTCTCATTTAGAGAAATTAGCCACTGTTATGGGTAATACTTGACTTTCCAATCTTCACGTCTGCTGGCTTGGATGGGTCTACCACTGCTTCCTTGGGGATGTTCTTTTATTCTACCCCAAATTATCTTCCCTGACATAGGGGGTATTGTAGTTGACTTAAATGCTGTGACATGCAAATCAAAAGATGCAGCAACACCAACCGGAATTTGGTCTTTGTTGTTCCCAAACGCCATTTTATCAAAGTTAACTACACACCTCCTTGGTAGTAAGTAGTCCAATCCTAATATGCATGGATCTTCAATGTCAGCCAAGTATACTTTCTGTCTGTCCTTTATGCCCATGAGCTCAATAGTTACCAACACTGGTCCCCACAACCTTGCATAATGCCCTGTCACACCACAGAGCTTATGTATGGTTTCTGGCACTCCTTTGTGATCCAGCACCTTGATACTCACAAGGGTTTGCTGAGATGCAGAATCTATGACAGAGTTGCACTTTTGGCCATGCAGCCTTCCTCTCACGTAGACACTATGTGTGCTTGCCATTTTACACTTAGCTGTTGGGACTTTCACGATGGGGGTTGGTGGGCATCCCTCAACACCAGTCACTACTGGTTTCCCGAAGCTGACTTATTGGTAGTATTCTACTTACACTGGCTCCTCATATGTCCTTGCTCTCCACAGTTCCAACAACTTTTCTAGGTAGCAGCCTTTCCTGCCATGGCATCTTTTCTGTTTTGAAGTCGACGGCAAAAAATCTCTCTTGTGCCCAGGTTTGTTACAGTGCCAGCAAAGTCTCTCAAACCTCTCTGCAAGCTGCTCTTTTCTGGCCTTGAATCCGGATGACTGTACAAACCTTGGTACCTCTGTGCTGGACTTAACATAGAATTCAAATTCAAGAGCACTGGCCATTGCATCTTGTATAGTAGAGGGGTGTGCTTGCTTCACTTGTATCTTCAGTTGTGGACTGTCCAAGGCATCTACAAATTGATTCCTCAGCAACAGCTTGAGGACATCAGGTGGTGCGATCAGGTAGGCCTTGTGTGGCATACTTTACAAATCCTGTGCCAACTCTTGCAGGCTCTCCCCTTTAGCACGGACTCTAGTCCTAAATCTAGCCCTGCAGACTTCAGACTGATTTGGAGTTCCATACCAGAGTTCTAGAGCAGCTACCAGTGCTCTATAGTTGTGCTTGTCGTCTGCTGACAACTGTCCAAGTATTTCCAGTGGTTGTCCCTTCAGGCTCGTTGCCAGATATACTGCTTTCTGCTCCTTTGTCCATCCATTCATTTCTGCCAGGAGCTCAAATTGTGCTCTATATGCTTCCCACGGTGCCTTCCCATCGAATTCTTGTGGTTTTCTTCGTACTAGATCACCCCTATTGCCGACACTCATGGAATGTGACTTCTGGCAGGACTGAAGATGTCTGCATTAGGGGTTTAGCTGCGGGCTCTGGAAAGGGCTTCCTGTTGTCTGGGGCTCATTAGGTCCATGGCTAATATATCCTCCCTGTGTAAAAGACAGTAAATCGTCCTTTAATGTATTCAATTCACTTTGAAATTTACTAATCTTTTCCATTAGTACTTCATGCTGATGTTGTACTCTCTCCTTGTTCTTCTTGCCACTGCTGCTGACTTTCCCGCAACTGATGGAGACTTCCTTCGTGTTTCTTTTCTCGTTCTTTTTGTTTCCTTTCTTGTCCCAGTTGCTGCTGATTTTTCCGCAATTATTGGATACTTCCTTCGTGTTTCTTTTCTCATTCTTCTTGTTTCCTTTCTTGTTCCAGTTGCCACTGGTGCTGATTTTCTTGCCACTGCTGTAGTCTCTCTTCTTGTTTATTTTCTTTCTCCTCCAACCACTGCTGTAGTCTCTCTTCTTGTTTATTTTCTTTCTCCTTCAACCACTGCTGTAATCTCTCTTCTTGTTTATTTTCTTTCTTCTCCAACCACTGCTGTAGTCTCTCTTCTTGTTAATTTTCTTTCTCCTCCAACCACTGCTGTAGCCTCTCTTTTTATTTGTTTTATTTCTTCTCCAACCACTGCTGTAGCCTCTCTACTTATTTGTTTTCTTTCTCCTCCAACCACTGCTGTAGTCTCTCTTCTTGTTAATTTTCTTTCTCCTCTAACCACTGCTGTAGCCTCTCTTCTTATTTGTTTTCTTTCTCCTCCAACCACAGCTGTAATCTCTCTTCTTGTTAAGTTTATTTCTCCTCCAACCACTGCTGTAGCCTCTCTTCTTGTTTACTTCTTTCTCCTCCAACCACTGCTGTGGCCTCTCTACTTATTTGTTTCTTTCTCCTCCAACCACTGCTGTAGTCTCTCTCCTTGTTAATTTCTCTCTCCTCCAACCACTGCTGTAGCCTCTCTTCTTATTTGTTTTATTTCTTCTCCAACCACTGCTGTAGCCTCTCTACTTATTTGTTTTCTTTCTCCTCCAACCACTGCTGTAGTCTCTCTTCTTGTTAATTTTCTTTCTCCTCCAACCACTGCTGTAGCCTCTCTTTTTATTTGTTTTATTTCTTCTCCAACCACTGCTGTAGCCTCTC